CATCCTGGAGCCTTACGTGGGTGACCGTCAAAACCGGCACGTAGGGAAGTCATCACGACTTTAGGTTTAGGACGAGTTTATTGCCAAAATAACTCTTCTTTTGAAACATATAACCAAAGTAACTTAATTTTAAAATTTATTACATTTATAATTCTTTTTTTTCCACATAGGTTGCATATGTGGTAGGATAGAGATAGAGGCACATACTATCTCTCTTTCCCAATTAATATCTTCCCTGATTCTCTCTCTGAACCTACCCACTTTTTTTTCCTTTATTATTTTTTGTCCTTTCGTTATTTTTCCTTGTCGAATGTAATTGTTAAAAGTCAATATTTATATTAACAACATCCAAAACTTCATTATCATTCCTGATATTGTATCTGTAGATGAAAATATTCTCCTCGAATTGATAATTTCAACGTAAATGAAGATTATTCTCTTGTCTTTTCTATTATACAGTTTTTGGAACATTCTTATGGCCTTCAAAAAATTTTGAATACTAATTGCTTTAACAAATGATTTCTCACACCGTGTGCTTGATAAAATGTCTAAGAGAAAAACTACGTAACAACATAAATTCATGCTCAATATAAGCATGTTCATTTGTAGTGCCTCTCTATCACATAATCAAATAATCTCGTATACTTGAAGTATTTTTGCACATTTATTCAACATCAATTAATGGCCTGTGTTACTTTTGAGAAACTTTAGCATTATCTTAATTGCAATAGTTTGATTACTTTTTGTAAAAGTACTTTTCAAGGAGTAGAAAGCGTAACATAAACAACTATGATAACCTTGAAGTTTTTTAACTTTTTCTTATTATTGCTTATAATGTTCATTGCAATTTTTGTATTTTGCAAATTTATTTTTGAAAAAATATATGCAATAAGTTTGATACATTTAAAAAAAATTGCAGAGAGCAATAATAGCAAGGTCAATAATGGTCAAATTTATTTTAAATAATTATAAGGAAATTATCAAAGTTATGAAATTTTCTTGTGCCTCTATAATAAAACAGTTTAAATTTTTAGTTTTATTGGAAACTATAAACTAGATTAAGGCTTTCCTTTCTTGTTATCCTACATGGCAATCAGGGTAATTAGGTGGCAACAATAACATCGATTTGAGAATAAAATTTGAAAGTGAATCACATTGGGAATATTTTTTAGAAAGAGTGTTATTTTGGTAAAAAACTCGGTTTAGGACAGTGATGTTTGTCACGACTCTCAAAAAGTTTACCTTTTCTTTTATTTTAATTACCTAATTTTACTTTTGTTTTATCAATTGTCATTATCTACACCTATTCTTACTCTAACCTATTTTAAGGGTGATCCTGTGATCCAACAAGATCACAAGAAACCGATGAGAATTGAACCATCATCGAACTAATTTACATTGAATGCATATGGGTGCATCGGACGAGAATTGACCCTGTCATCCATATGGGTGCATTACGCACCCATATGGACCTAATTTTACATTGAGTTAGTATTATTTGTTACACTGTGATGCTTGAATATTCACTTATTATCATCATTACTGTAACTAATTATTTGATCAAGTCTCTTAGTAAAATTTGATATTAATTGGTTGAGTTTTCTGCTCACCTTGAAGTTGGGGTTATATTGAAGTGGGTGTTTAATTTAATACAGTTTGTATCTTCTTTGCTTTTTAATTCCTGGTCTAGTCATGGCAATCAATGAAGAAGCAAACAGTGTCAAGCCAGAAAATGAATGGCTAATACTTTAGGAGGTGGCAGAATCAAATGAGGTGTTAGTTAACTGTATTAGGGTCCATTTCGGCCATAGATGAAAACAATGAATCAAATGAGACGAGCTTAAATTCCATCTCGGGCTGCTTCTGTTGTATCTGAGGGGTATCACCACAAAAATAAACAAACAAATAAATAAAAAGTCAAAAATGACATCCATGATATCAAACAAAACCCCACACCATCCAGCAAAGCCAAATTGAGTCTCCATGTAGTAACCCACACCATTAGCTACACTACGAGGCTGCACCTATTGATTCTGAAAAATACTTCCATGCCTGGATTAGAAAACTAATATAAGAAATTGAGCACTAATTAATCTGCTCTAATATTGCTGCGGACATATGTTTCTCTGACCAGCCAATTACCAAAACCGATGAAGCTCCAATGCATGAGAACCATTATACGAAAAAACATAACAATAACAACAACTTGACACGAATGATTACCATACCAAAATAAATTTATGTAAGAATTTCAAATCATCCCCTTGCCAAAATTACATTACCAAATGCTCCAAAATACTTTTCCCGGTATTTAAAAATATTTCTACTTGTCTACTAATAAGTAATAATTAAAAAAAAAAAAAAAACCATACCTACTTTGAGCGTGGCAGAATCAAATGAACCGACTTAGTTCTGGCATTATCATCACTGCTTCTCGCTTCATATCATGGTTGAAACAATATGACATAACGCATTACCAACAACAATGGCAAGTATTTGAGCGTACGCTGTTGGTTCTTAATTTAAATAAAACATTACCATTTTGGATTGAACCAATAGGTAGAACCCGTATTGAGTAATCGCAAAGATGATGCCAATCTCTCGATTCACAATCCAAGTTTCTGGCCACAATAAATCATCACATTCCACTTTCCACTCTCCAAATCTTCTAACAAACAAATCTTGGTGTGAGATACATCGATCAGAGCAAAGTGTTCTCCAACCTCACATGCAAAAACTTCCCTCAAATCAATACCATTTGGAAGGGGCAAAGTTTGAAATTTCTCATAAGTGACATCAAAAGCATGTATTTGGAAGAATTGTAAATTTCTCATAATTATTTTTACTTTTATTTTTTGGCTTATGTTTTTCAACACGTCTATCTCTACATCAAAATACTTTTTCTGACTTTTTTTATAATAATTTTCCGATCTTAAATTGGTTTTTCAAGGTAACTGTACGGATATGTAAAGTTTTCCCTTATAAAGTTTTAGTTGCGATATGATTGAAACTTGGTTTGGAAAGATTTCTTTAAAGGGATAAAATTCCTCCGTTGTACAAAGAGGAAATTTCCTAAAATTTCGTATAAAACATTGCTAGAATTTCATGAAATATTGTCGGCGATGACTCCCTTTTTCCCCCTTTTGTGTTTAACTAGAAGATTAAATGTCGAACAAAACTACAGATTGAAAATTATATTTCTAGCAAGTCGTGCAGTTGGGTTTCCTATAATAATCGGTAATGTATTCAGCTAAGGATCTTTTCTTATAATTGCTCTAGAGAACTCCTTAAAATACTTAGATTACACCTAACTTATTATGTGAATGTGTATACATTTATTACCTCTTGAATTTAGATACTTTACCAAACTATTCTAACCCGTGCTAGGCATGGGTTTACATTTTAAAGTATAACAATAACAAAAATTTATTTTTGCTACATGAAAGTAAAATCTAAAAAGTTTTAAGAAGTATTTTTTTTGTGTCCAAATTTATGAAAATGAATTATATACAAAAAGAGGTATAAAAAATGGTTCAGTAGAATGCATTAATTATTTTCAATATCGGGTTAATTTCTACCTACAAGTTGAATTTTTCGATCCCTCAAAACAAAAAAAGGTACTATGGAATCATAAGAAAAATTTATGTAGGTTTACTTATATGGGTAATTCCAAGTCAAATTTTATTTATCTACTATAAGTCAACATCTAATAATATTATGTATATAATAATTCGATCCATAACAAATATATAAAAGCAATCCTAGACTTAGGTATTAATAACTGATAAAATATATTTAAGTCAAACCCAAAATATATAGTTTAGAATATTAAAAATAAATCAAATTTAATTCAATTGTAACAATTAGTGACTGATTTTGCATAAATTGTACTGCTCCTATTCCATTACAATAATTTGCATTTTGTACAGATGAAATGAAGGCTTTCATTCAGTATGATGGTTAATTAACTTAAGGTTGTCTTTAAATGACCAAAACCTATCAAAACATAACATATCTGTAAGTAACCCTCTCTAAAATACTAAAAAAAAAATAAAAAAAAATCTAAACACTATCCATAAAAAGGCACACCAAAATACTAAAAATACACACAACAATACCCTTTCATCAACCACATAGACAACCTCCTCCTCTCTTTCCCCCTCCTTTTCTCCACACAACTTGTTTCCTCCACTCTCCAGCCAAATTTAGTTTAACCCCCCCCACCCTCGTGCGGATTGCAGCATGTCATTTTGGATATTTTACATAAATATCCTCTCTTACATTTCCTATTATGGCCTTAAATTTTCAAAATATTCTTAAACTACTTATGAATAACAAATAGAATGGATACCTATACAATGAATTACTTCCAAACCAAGCCATTTTGCCCACAACTCTAGGAACTTGAGCTGGCTTTTTGCATGATTATCTGTACCTGAGAGCTTTCTATATAACACATGTGATTAGGAATTTCACAATAGTACATTGATTGACACACATAGATGGGTTTCTTGGCTATGATGCATAGCATGGTTTTTTCCTCCCTCTTTCTTGGTTTGGATGGGTGATGAATGAGAATAAAATTGGCTAGGGAAGAAAATGGAAAGACATGATAAGTACTCATTAGTTGTTGTGAATGATTTGTGTTATTAGTTAGTTATTATAGAGTTGTAGGAATTGTAATTGGAATGAAGTTCTAAAGTTTGCAGACGTGATTTGGATGCGACAAGGATCACATAAACATGCACAGCAATTTGAAATATTCAAATGGGTTTGATTAGTAGCACCTCTCCCGTAATGTTAAAGAGAACTGTTAAGCAAAGACAAAACAATAATAAAGGTTTTTAACAGGTGCTTAATAGTCCGTGACTAACTTGATGTACAATTCATGGTTGAGATGAAGTTGATTGATTGAAGAATATGATCATGCTTGAGCCAGCCATCAAATTTTGGAAATAATAACAAAGTAGTGTTATTTCTTCAACAATAAAGCGACAGCATTGATTTGATCTGATGTAGACATTTTAATTGCACTCTTTGTGATTCTATTTTTCTCCTTCTCATTATCTCCTTATTAGCAATCATAATTATCACCATAATAATTCAAATCAAACACAACTGCAATTGTGTAACTTTTTCTCCCCACTAATTACACTAATGTCAAATGACATTTCATTATGTAGGACTAAAACTTCAATAACTACATATTGGTAGTGCTGCCTCTATCAATAAGCTTAATCTTAGAACCTTCAACACCAATGCCACCCCTGTGAAGACTGCGGAGAAAAAATTTCCTTCACCATTCTGAATACAAGGATGGCCCAAGAAGTAGAGTGCTCAAGGACATGTTTAAATGGGCAACTCTCTGTGTTGTTCTCTTTTCCAGCTTTTAAGGCCATCATCTTGAGGATAAAGCTTTCATCCAAAGGAACTCAAAGTACCATATTAAGCATTCTTTCAGATTTTGAAGAATTTGTACCCGTACTCAGGGCTGGTCATTCCTTCTTCCCAGTCACCGATTTTGCGACCGCCAAAGATTACCTGTTGAATGCCCACATATCTACAAAAGAAAATTAAAAGTTAATCAAGATCAGTCCGCGAACAATACGAAATGCACCAACCAGTTTATGATAGATAAAGTCAGTCACTCATTCACCCAATTCTGTCACAAGCAATCTAATCACTCATCTAGTCAAATCTAAATAGAAGCTTACTCTGAGCTCAAAACAGTCAAGCAGTTGAGTAGAATATCTATGGAAAAGAAATCAGATGTGCCAAGATCTACCCTGTTAAAAGAACCCATTTTTATGTCATTAACTGTTAAGAGCAGAAAAAAAGAAGGCAATTATATTCAAGATGAATCAAAAACCCCACCAGATCCTTCCCCAGTTGTCCTGGAACTCAACGTCACTTATGTCATGGAATGAGGAAGGCATCACCTTGAAGCCCTTATCTGCATCATAGAGAGGATCATACTCCATTGATGAATTTGCCAACTGCAATTAAACACTCGGTTACAATCTCATCTTAAAATTTTTTAAACTGTTAAACAGCCCACCAGAAAATCATCTATGTGACCCTTTGAGCAAGAAAGAAAACTCTCTTGTAGACAATCCAGATTAGAGCCATAATTACCATGTTCATGTTTTCAGTTGTTAACTTAGAGAGCATTGTGGCCTGTTTAGCAGCATTCTTGAAAAGCATTAGACAGAATGCAAAACAAAAACAAGAGCAAACACCACTTCCATGAGAACAGAATCTTACTGTGCAAAAATGGGAGAATGTCTAATTTTCAACTTCACTGTGCTGAATAAGCTATGGTATTTGTCATATAACACGTATTTTTGAATTGTTGTAATTGAAAAAAATGTGTCCAAGAAGAAACAAAGCATTAGAAGCTCAGGTTTAATTATCAAAATCCATTAAATTTTTCAAGTCTAAAAAGCCTAAGCACTTTGCATTTGATTCTGTGGATTTTGGTATTCTATATTCTTTCACTCCAAAGTTATACATGCTTAATATTAGTTCCACATGAATTACTAGAGTTTAGCCATACAAATGGCACAAAAGAGGACATTTTAAACATTTTGGAGGAACCTCTGGAGGCTACATCGCCAATAGTTGTATCTCTACAATCAAAGATGAAATCAAAACACAACAGGAGGAAAAACCAACAAAGTTAAATCACTAACTAGAAATTAAAAGTTCACCTTCTTATAATCTTTGAAATATCAGACAAGCAAGAAGTATTAAGAGCATAAATGAAGCAAGACACAGACCTAAATGGTATGAAATCCAATCCAAAAACGGTTGTCATTGAAATGCTTCAGAGTTCAGAAAAGCCTAGGCCATCGTGTTAGAAGTTAAAAGAAATAATGTCTACTATCATTATTTTTCCCCCCTTCTTGATAACAAAGAAACTGAACTATATTATCAAAGAAAGCATAATATCTATCAAAGTAGAAAGCAAGTTTGATAAAAAATTGGAGAGGTGAAAGAAAAGACTCAAATTTATTTTACAACTCATAACTTAAAAAAACCCCAACACAGGAAGAACAGTTACAGGACAACATATCATTCACTTCTCACAAATATAGCCTAAATGTCCACATTACAACAGGCTTGTCCTGTAGAACAAACAAAAAGATTTCCAGAGGCTAAGACTTGAATGGGCAGGAACCTCAGAGCTAGGTTTAGTGTTATGGAAATTGATTCACAATGGGTGTATTCCGATAGGAAATTGTTCAAAAATATATTTCAAATAATACACTAGCATATTTTACGATGTGATGCATGTGAGATGAAAAGGTGGTTGGGAATATAAAAGATAATTGGACAATGTGCTTGTGATGCAAGCAGAATTTATTTTGCAAATAAAATTTGTATCCAAACAAAATCCATATATTCTTCTCTGTTCAGCTTTAGAAAAGATTTTTGGACTTCAAATACTTGAATGATACACTATTCAAAACCAAATGAGAAGGAGAAGAGTATGGGAAGTTAAGAATAAGGAGAATAACTTCAAATAGGATAATTTTCTAAATATTCATGTTTTTTTCTTTAATTAATTGTCCCCTTATGTAAGACCTCTAAGAATATGGAATAACCATCATCTAAGAATCTCTTTTCCTAGTTCTTCAAATCCTTCCTTAGCTTGCAGCAATGCAATGTAAAGGCTCCTCAAGGAAGATAAAGGGACTAAGTTTATGTGGCAGACTATCAATGTAATCTGTGACGTCCAATACTTCCTGTTCAGCTATGTTACTGGGACTCTTCACTTTGCCCTGCCACACCCCTGTCCAACCCTTCATTTTACACTAAAGGAGCTGTGTTGGCAAGATCTCATAGTTGAGTCTAAGTGACATAGCTGCTCAGTATTATCTCTGAGGAAAAAAGATAAAAAAAATTGCAGACTTTACAGAAGGCAATAAATCCATCATGCAATTCCCATGAAACTCAGAAACAGAAATGCAGATTAGACATGATAGAGGATAAAGTTACTTGACGAAGGATCTAAAATCCATACCATGCAAAACTACTTGAAACGTTCTACGCAATAATGAAGGATAAAGGCAAAGGCTAACTGCCTCTTTTTAAAATTTAAGATGATAATATGCCATCCATGGTCCTTCATTCCTATAAGAATTTTGAAATTTCCCAAAAGCCGTCCTTAGGAAAACAAATGAGAAGGGACGTATTAAGACGATGTTAAAAAAAAATGTCAAGTACCCACTGCTACATTGATTTAATAGGAGGTGAGGCAGGATTTTTAATTTCCAAAAGGTAGGCTTAATACTGTGGATGTGCTTCACAGAATCTGCTGTTTAGAGGAATTTGGATGATGGTATGTTGCTCTCATGTGTGCAGGAAAGAGGAATTTTAGGAGCGGAAATAGGGCAGATGTTATAGAAGGGGAAGAAAAGGAAAGAGGAGGAGGATTAGGCTTCACACCTAAAAGAGGCAGTTCATTTCAGAAAATATTACATAACCTGTGGAAAATAGCTGACATAAAGTATTTTCTTGTTATAGGGAATGCAGACTCGGTAAACAAGAGAACGCAATCTCCAACTAACCAAGGAGCCCAAGGTTGACAAAATAGCTCTGATTAATCCATTTCCTACTGCCAGCTTATGTTTTATACATGGACTGAATGTATAAAACTGTAACAGCCTATGGACAATGAGGAGGACCAAAATTAACGAAGTACCTCAGCATAAAATATATTTAGACTGGCAAGATATACCTATATTAACAGATATACCTATATTTAAATCCTAGATCAGCTCCAATTGAGAATCTTGCCACATGATCACGCCTTTAGGGGAAAGTTTCCCCTTCTTTTGCAGTATTAACAAATTTCACATATTTTCAATAGCATTAAGAGGATTCAAACTCATTAACATTTGGAGACAACCTAAATGATGACGTGACTATAAGCTGGTTTGAGAAATACTCTCATCATTCGAAGCCTCAGAATAAAACTAAGGCATCCTTTGCAAGATAGAAGTTTTTGGTCTAAAGAAGTCTGTCCATGGTGAAATGACAGTTCAAGTTCTGAGTTGTAGTAGTTTCCCTTATTTAGGTCATAAGGGATATTTTGGTCTGGAAATTTCCAGATTTCCAGAATTGAGTCTATAAGTCTTATGTTAGGTAAGTCACTGTTAGAAGGTAAGTTCCTAAAAGTTCTAGAGTTCTACAATGAGTTAGTTTCCAACTTACGTTATGAAAATAGGAGAAGCTTTAGGAAGCTTTTTAGTTATAAATATTTATGTTTCTACTTTGAATAAAGATTCAGCTTTGGTTTAATAGTCGTTTTGTTCTTCTTCCCCCTAAACTCCCTTCCTCTTCCTCTCTTTCTCCCAGAGATTACTGTTCAACGGTACTGTTCATAGCCCTGAAACAGTCCCAAGATCCCCCTCTTGTAGGACGGTGAATGAATCTGTCATGTAGTCAGACAATAGATACATCTGTGAGAAGAACCAGAAATTTACCTGCAAATTAGATGAATTAAATGCGCCTAGACGACCCATGATATACCAGGATTGAATAACCTGTTAAATGTAATAACAACATAAGAAAGGTGTCAGCCAACCAGTCGTGTGAGGGTACTAGATAGTCATAACAACACCTACCACAGTGGAGAAAAAGTTTCCACTTGTTACTTTAACCTTAATCCTTCTAGTAAAAGGATAAGTTGCACATAGCAGAGAGGAAATCACTTACACTACCGAGGAGGTCAACATCACGATCAGATGGCGATCCATATAGTTCAAACCATATATAAGAGTCAAGAGGATTAAAACTGTCAATAACAGTGAATAGTATAAGCAGTCATAGACTTCACACCTCTGTCATGAGAATTGCTAAAATGTTTCGCCAACCAAAAATAATCTTTGTTTATTCCAGAGGATTAGACTGTACTTCAAATCCATGCAAAATTAATTTCACATACAAAAACTGTCTTATAAACGACATGAACAACAACAACAACAAACCAACTAGATTCAGAAGTAACAGGACATTTGCACTAAACAACAAGTAACTCAACCATCATATTTGGCTTATCGATAAAACTAACAACCCCAATACACAAAAGTCTACACCAATGCCTTATAGTTTTATGTAGTTCTGCAAGAACTGAAATAGTTAATATAGGTACTCCATGAGTAACTATATTTTAATCAGAAAGAGAGGAAAAACAAGCCAAGAACCAGCTGCGACTCTTAGCCACTGCAGCTTCCTTTCTGCTGTTTTCCTTATCCTTTTCAGGCTGATTCCAAGTGGAATGATGACAACAAAAACTTTTGAATGCTCATGGACCAGTGGAAGTTGCTTGTTGTTTAAACCTAGATGGACATAATTCAGGTGAAGCATTTCTATAAGAGAAAATTTCAGGCAAAGCATGTAGGTGTCAGCACTTGTACAATTATAAGTGATTGAGGAAGGTATCTGCACTTGTACTGATAGCTTAGTGGAACATGTTGGAAAGGAAGATCTCATATCGAACTATGATTCATAACATGGAAGTTCCACCAATAGTGGAATTTCAATCTAGATCTTCGAAATAAACTGGAAATCAAGGGAGTCTATCATCAATAGAAAGATCAAAATATGAGGCTGAAAATCATTATTATATGTTCCTTTCTTTTGAAATATAAAGGGAAACAGGGAAATAGAGAAGCAGTCAAAATCTTCAGTCAAGAGTGTGTTAGCTTTACAAGGATGAAGGCGTGAGCACTTTGTACAACAATTACACAAATGATTGAGCAAAGTATCCGTGCTAGTACTGATAGCTTAGTGGGACATATTGGAAAAGGAAGACCTCATATCAAACTGTCATTCACAACATGAAAGTTTCACCATAAGTGGAATTCCAATCTAATTCTTCCAAATAAACTGGAAATGGAAGGGCGTCTATCATCGATAGGAAAGATCAAAATATAAAACTGATAATCATTATATTGGGAATTCACAGGGAAACAGAGAAGCGGTCAAAATGTTCAATCAAGAGTGTTTTGCCTTTACATAAAAAATTTGATAGTTACATTTGTTCCTATTGTGAATGAGCATGTCAGAAAAATTTAATAAGCATTTACCACACACAAAATGCAATCATCTTTATCACCATCCATTGGCCCCTTTGTCTCATTTTGGTTTTTTTGTTTGTTTGTTTGTTTGTTTGTTTGTTTGTTGTTGTGAGGAAACAATATGAAAATGATGAAATCCATGTTTCCAAAGCCATACCAGACAGGCATGCATGTCATTGAGTCATATAATTGAGTTTTATGACTAGAGAGCATAAAATCCATTAGTATATTGTCTCATTCAAATAAGAAGGTAAATAACAACAACAATAATAATAATAATAGAAAGTATGACTAGGAAAAAAGTTGCGCTCAAAGCAAACCTTTTACGCTAGAAACTTGAAAAATCTTCTATAATATTTCAATAAAAGATACAGACGTTTTCCAAAGAAAATAAAGTAAGAATTTAATTGCAAATGATCAAAATTCATCAATGAAATTAATGAAATCTTAACGAGATTGTCCATCAAACTCATCAATCATGAAAAACATAAAAAAGTATCCACACAAAACGTACAAGTGGAGGAAAACTGCAAATTGGTACTCACAGTGTGAAACCGGAACAACAGTTAAAAGGCAAGTAGTGGAGCATCCAACAATAACATTTATAGATGTGCAAAAGTAAATTACTCTCTGAAGCTAACTTTGAATGCAAGGACAGATCCAGTTTTAGATTTCTGAAAATCTTGACCTTTCCTTCGAACCCTTTCCTCAACCTATCAAAATATCACCAAGTAAATAATAAGTTTCAAAGGTCAGGAATATATCAGTAATAGCATGAGCTCCATCTATAAGTTTATCAACTTCATAGTCTTAGTAACAAACAGGTTAGAGTGAATTACAGCATGACCCTCTCACTCCATAGTGAAATTCATTTACATCTATCCTTCGCTTTCTATGGTTTAAATAATCAACAGTTTCCCAAGCAGCAGTAAAAGCACTGGTCCAGAAGGACCAACTTACACCTAACACTGACTTTTGGCTCCACAAAACCATATATAAAGATACTCATATGATTAGCTTGAACAATGCTTATCATGGTAATTTGCCTCTATATGGGCTTAACCAAATATAATAGGTTGACGAAGTTAATCTTATTTTCAATAGCAGTAAAATGATTGACCACAATCTATCCAAACACCCATCATTTTATTCTTATACTTGTCTACCTCGCTTTTGGAAACTAAATCCCAAAAGACTTGGTATACATATGACAAGCAATCAAATGAAACGCTCCTAAGTCAACTAATTCTAGATTCAATACTCTAAACGACATGAGTTTCATCTTAAGTTACCCGATAACATGAATAAGACCCAGAAACTTTGAACACTGAGGATGTGATAAGCATTGAAACCTTCAGATCAATAACTGATACTAGTACAACACCTGCTTCAGTGATCAGGCAATTTCATTTATTACCAAAATCTTTCTCCTTCAAGATGTGACAACCACATTGTTTGTTAATACATTAAGTTCAAAGAAAATTGTAGTTTCTATTGATTGTAGCATTTCGGGCTTCCTTCAATTGATGCAGAATCAGGTTGTATATGTGAGTTGATAAAGATTTCAGTGGGCTGTAGTTTCTATTTGTTGTAGCATTTCGAGCTTCCTCTAATTGACACAGAATCAGGGTGTGTACAAGTTGACAAAGATTTGAGTGGGCTGTTTCTGAAACATAAAGTTCAATTTCAAGGGTATCTTCAGTTGCTTCACATGAGGAATCCAGCACTCATGATGAAGAGAACATTGCAAAATATGCTACAATACAATGCTTCATTTCTTTTTTTGATGCTCGGAAGAATGGAATGCTCAATAATTTTGTCACAGGTACACATATTTCATCAGTGATCCAAACAAAATTCTTCTTATCATATGTGAAATGTACTTAAGTTGCCTATATTGCACTTGAGTGTGATGGTAGGATACTTTTCAATGTATAAACTCAGCATGGTGGAATCTTCTGTTATTCAGAAAACAAAATGGATACATAGTCACAAGACAGATGACAATAATTCAAAGATACTGAGATAGTTAAGAAAACAAAAAGAATGGTTTGACTGACGACAGTTGTAATATTCTGAAATGTACTTAAGTTGCTTGTATTGTACTTGTGTGCGATGTTAGGATACTTTTCAATGTATAAGCTCAGCATGGTGGATTCTTCTGTTATTCTGAAAACAAAATGGATATATAGTCACAAGATTGATGACAATAATTCAAGATACTGAGATAGTTAAGGAAACAAAAGGAATGGTTTGACTGATGACAGTTGTAATGTTCTAAGGTACAGAGATAAGCAGAGCTTAATTAACAATTTCTCCACAACTATTCTCGTCCGTAAGAAACAGTGGAAGATAATAATCTTTTCTCCATCAAAAGCTCAATAAAGGGTATCAAAAATCAGATATGGAAACTAAATCACTATGCAGTATCAACTGCTCAGTTTCTTCTCTCAATCCCAGCTCAACAATTTCCACAATTGCAAATAGCACAAACCACATCAGTTCCTTACTTCAGTTGCAACAAAACATTACACAAAACGAAAACAGACAGCTTGCTCCAATATATTTCAGCAAAGGTAAGAACATCATCGAATCAAGACATACCCTTTTCCTCATAAGCTCTGGATTACCAATGGTATCTCCAAGAACTGCTCGAAGCTCAGCATCGTTCTTGCAAGCATCTTCCAACACTCTGTGATTTGATAAGATTGACAACCAGAATACATTAATTTCTTAAGGCAGACCTATTTTCTCTAGAATTGCAACCATAGAAACAAAAGTGGCGTACTAACTTTGCCCAAGCAGGATAGTTGTGAAGGCGGTCGTATTCCCTTTTCCTCTTCTCCTCCCGAACTTTTATCAACCTCCTTCCTCTTGCTGTTGTCCCCGACCCTTTTGAAGTTTTTCCATCCAAAACTCCGCCATTACTATCATCTATGTTGGTAAGATCTCTTGAATTCGGCATTGAAGCTGTCACTAAAGCTGCAGATGGATGCCGGGGGAGCCTCATACCAGTCTTTGTTATACAGTCACTGCAAAATAGCAGTCTACCATTGTTTTTGGGCATAGCTAAAAGACGGGCTGCAAAACTAATCTCCATTGTTGTCTCTCTTCTTAATGTTTAGACAAAATCTTATCTGTATCTGCATAAACAATTTGAGTATATCAATACCCAAATCTCTAAGAAGCACCTAGCTACAGCAAAAACTAAAGAAAAAAAAATCCACCAAAAATTATGTCCTTAAACCTGAAACAGGATGGCGTGAAAATAAAAGGTACATTAAAGAAAAAGGGACAAAACACCTATCGTTTCTGAAAAAAAAAAAAAGAAGAAAAAGGGACAAGAAAATGAAATAAATAAAAATAAATAAATAAATAAATAAGACATCATAAGTGATAAGCCTATGCCGCACAGGGACTAGATCATTTATTCTAAAGTAAAAAATCGAAAGTATTTGGAACTTAATTTGATAAATTGAAAAGCTGACTGAACTAATGATTGGCCAATAGCCTCTTGGTACCAGAGGTGTTATCGAGCCGAGTCGAGCTCGAGTAGCACCATACTCAAGCTCGAACTCGATCACAATCAGTGCTACTCGAGTTCGAGTTCGAGCTTAAACGAGTAAATAAATTTGGACTCGAACTCGACTCGATAAAATAAAAGTAAACTCGAGCTTGACTCGTTTGAGTTCGAGTAAATATCAAGCCCGATCTATTCGAGTTCGAGCTCGAGTTTTGAACTAAACCTAAAAATTTTTTCTCAAAATATATAAGATGAATATAATATAAATATAATATGAAAACTCGATTAAGCTCGTCGAGCACTCGAGTATTTATTTTTGGAACTCGAATTCGACTCGTTGAATGTAACGAGTAGCTCGAGCTCGATTTGATTGAGCTTAAGTCAAGCTTTTGACCAAGTCGCTCGCTCTGTCATGGATGCTGGTACAACAAAGTTTGATTGCACCCCTACTTGGTACCACCAAGACTTAAATGTCTTTGGTGGCGGTGGAAGGTTAAGGATTTAATCCTTACCTTTCACCTTGTCATTTAATTGTAGTTGTCATTTAATTGTAGTTGTCATTTAATTGTGACTTTTTTCGACAGAAAAATTCTGTTGCTCTCCCTTTCCTTAAATCATGTTAGAGTAGGTTATACAAATATTATCATTGCGATAAAAAAAAGACTGAACTAATGATTGGATTACTCTAATACTATGGATCTAATTGAAAAACTTTAAAGTAAACAAGGGGGTTAAAATGTAAAATCCTAAAATTTGGGGGTCAAACTATGAAGCAAGGGAAAAGCTAGAGGACAAAAGTTTCAACTTTCAGGACTTAGTTTGGTTTGCGTGTTTTGAAATTCGAACCAGATTGACCAATGGAACTGCAAACGGGCCATGTCTTCAATTCAATTTAATTGTTGACCAAAAAATTTAATTAAACCATCTAAACTAGTCAAAAATCGATTGGACCAATAAAAATTGATAAAAATCGAGTGGTTCGATTAGAGTTATTAACTTTTTTTATTTTTTTAGAATAAATATTTCAACTTTATTCACATATTTAATATTAAAATAAATAAATAATGATTAAACATTTGAACAGGGGTTAAATCGATCAAGCCAGTAAAATCGCAAATCGAAAGGTCTTCCGGTTCATTCCTGGTCTGAATTTAAAAACATTGACAAAACACAAGAATGCCACATCTGGCCAGCCTAACACTCGCTGAAATTTCATTCTTTCTTGATCAAACTCATGCACAAAAAATAACTATGAAAAAGGAACAAAACACCAAATAGAACAAAAACATAAATAAATTAACAAAAATATCTATCAACTTCTCTCCTCTTAAGCCAGCAAACTCATCGGTTTCTGCCAACATTAGACTAGCTAGAATTCCTCTCCATGGGCGTTCATCCTCAGCAATGTCGTCCCATTAGCTTAGGTTTTTTGTTTGAGTATTGTCACAAACGGGTTCAGGGCATTTTGGAGATGGAACTTTCTTCTTCCAAAGTTGTTTCTGGCCTACCCGAAATTGCTGCCAAGGTCTTAACCTATGCCAAGCGTACTTTAATGATACAAATTATTTACATTTTTTTATATAATATTGAGGAATGAGAATTTTGTTAGTTTCCTTCTGGAATTTAATCTTCTCCAATAACTCTAATCGAACCACTCGAACCACTTTAATCTTCTAGAATTTCATCTACACAGCTTCAAGGAAAAGGCTGTGTAGATGAAATTGCCCCTCAAAAATTTACTTTTCGTCTCTTCTAATGGCATAAGTATACGGAGTGATCGAAACGATACAGATTTACTAGTTCAGCGATATTTTTGGCTAATAAAAAAGTTTAGTGATCAAAACCGTTACCTCGCAATAGTTTAGTGACATTTCGCATAATTTGCTATTTATGTTATCTCTTTTCTACCCAGCTTAACTAAGAAGAGAGTAATTTCAATGAGTTCTTTGAGAAAATATGCACTCTCTCCCAACTTTTTAATATAACATTCTTCGTCCTTCTCTAATCTCTACAGCTATTCCTAATCTTTTTCTCTTCTAATTTTTTTCGATAGGTTTTAATTCTTGATAAGTCTACCTCAACAAATTTCTCTCATCCTGTTTACTGCCCTCTTTACCACCCTATAAGCCTAAGTCTAGTCTTTTATGTATCAACTGTTATTGTTAGAAGTCACAGCTATGCAAGTCATTTATCTATTTATCATAATCTTTTTCTAATTAAATTCCAAATGTATAATTATGCTTATAATTTAAATCTATATATGTGCTTGATTAGACAAAAAATTACTCTTCAGTTTGTATTTGTCACATTATTGCACATAGAGATATATCAAGAAGGTTTCTTTATTGTTTCTGAAATTTGTGTAGATTCTCAATAATAATTTTTTTTTTACCACTTATCAATTTGCTTATTTTTTATGTGTAGTTAGTTTTAGAAAGTTTTAACCAAATCTTTTTGGGATGTTTTATTTCTAATGATAAAGATCGTATGATTATGTGACATGTGCTTAAGTATCAAGTTTTTTTTTTTAATTTCTCGGATGTAATGTATTTCCAAAGTTTGTAATGGTGCTTGCTGCAGATTTTCTCACAGTTTCATGACACATTAAGTTCCTCAATTCCAATTCACGTAGTGTAACAAGTCTAATTTAATTGGTCATTTTCTTTATCTATTCAAATTATGTTTGAATGTCTAAAATTTTAGAATCTCAATTTCATTTTTTCTCAAACACCAAAAAAATGACGCCTTAGACTCTTCTCGTTCTCGGCGAAGTTCTATAATATTATCGAAGTTCTCCTATTCCCTATTTGGGTAAAATTTTCTACGAAGACAATGGATTTGCTTACGCTTGTTCAGAAGGCTACTGGAAGGAAGCGTGAGGGGTCTTTTTGGCACTAAAAACGTTGTCTCATTCTTTTGTTGCTTTGTCAAATTATTTGTTAAATACAAATACAAAAGATGTTGTAAAGTTTTACTTTACGTGTACTCTGTCTATTGTCTTTTTTGCATAATATTTAGTCTTATCATTGTTCTCGATATTGATATATGTTGCTTGTCTACTAGGTGGGTTCTTTTCGAATATCTACTACTATATTCTCTCTCTATATATATATGTGTATGTATATATGTAATTTTGGGGTCTCGGAGAACTTGACTTGCTTTGCCCTTGTATGAATTGGCCCGTTACAAGTTCTCCTAACCCAAACAATATCAGTATTCATACCTAGCGACTTATAGTACATAAAATCCGTCCAAGGTGTAACAAATTCTCCCTGGTTTCATTCAGCATCCTGATTATATTGGTAGGATCACCTTCAATGATGCAATTGTTCAAATTTAGATGCACGCAGAAGAGCACAGCTTATCTGCTGCCTTCAACTCGACCACTTCAGGAGAAGGTAGGTTATGAAATCTTTTGGACAATTGTGCTACAAAATTACGTTCATGATCCCTCGCAATAACTCCAACGCCATGCATCCTCAAATGACAAAAATATTCCGCCCCATCAAAGTTCACCTTGATTGAGCAGGACAAGGTGCTTGCCATGAAATCATCTCACAATGCTCATTGGTGAGCTCTGCTGTAGAATTAATCATTTGCATGCACACTCTTTATCCAATGTAAATAATTAAATCCCCAATTTACAAGTTGCAAAGGACATTTACAACTACCATTATGCATCTTTTCATTTCTACTACCCCAAATACCCCAATAGAGAACCACAAATATCAAAAGTTGACCTTCCTTCAACCAAAAAATAGCCTCCTTCAGCCAACTAGCGCCATTTAGATGCTTGAGAGATGTAAAACTCCTTCCATATAGCTCAGAGCCCAAACCTGCACTACATAGGGACATACGAATAAAGTATGCAAGAGATCTTCTTTCTTTGTCGAACAAAAGAAACAAATCAAATAGCCATCTACTCTGTGGGATTCAAGATTACTAGCATTGGGTAGAATATCCATACGGCACCTCTCCAAAGGACAGGTTTGATCTTATTTGGTGGAGTAATTTGCCAAATAGTTCAGAATAGTTTCCTTTGCACTTCATCCGAAGTATTTTAAAAGGCGAAAGTATTGTCTCGATCTAGACAGGGCATAAACCCTAAGGCGTGGGGAATTTTTTTTTTCCGGAAACGATAATTGAATATATTAGCTTATCTAAAAAATATACATTTAATGAGCAAAAACTCAAATTGAATTATACAAGTGTCTGCGACACCTAAGGCGTAGGGAATAAACCCCACAAATTTTTGAGCTTTTAATAAATAAAAATAAAAATACTTGTAATATTATAAAGAAATATTGTAAAGTCATAATATTTATGCTATAAAGTAAATTAATTAGTTTAATTAATGGTTGCTTGAGAACAAAATATGAAACTTTTAAATAATTTAGGACTCAATTATAATTTTGAAAAGATAAAACTCCTGCGCGTCATTCCTTTTCCTTCCTTCTTACGCCGTTTCTTTTCTTATCCACTTTCTCCTCTTCTTCTCCCAAACTTACTCTCCGATTCAATTCCTCTTCGCTTATTCACTGTTTGTGCTCTTCGATCGTACTTCTACTTTATCCTATTTGTATCTTCTATTTTTGGAGTTACTACTTCCCTTTAAATTAGAATCAGGTTTTTTCCCTTCAAATCTCTGTTCCATCATACCAGAGCTTTTCACACCCTCGGCGACGCTTCAGCGTCGATGACGGCACTGGGCATTTGCCCACCAGAA